AGTCTCGAACCAGCGCCCATATGGGATGCTGGCGCCTCAGGCCAGGGCGTTAAACCACTGCACCACAGTGCTGGCCCCTGTTATTTTAATTTCTTAAACTTTTCTTCTTCATAAATTATGCTGGGTTTCCATATCTTTGCAGTCTCCTCTTGTCTGAGAGAACTGTCTTCCCCTCCCCCTCTTCCTGGCTGTCAGAACTCTGACTTTTAGAAAATCTAGGGTCATTATTTCCTACACTGTTCTACGGTATGAGTTTGTGTGTTTCTTCAGTATTAGGTCCAGATTAAACATTTTGGTAGCAAACAGTTTTGGTTAAACATTTTGGTGAGATTACCATAAATTAATGTTTGAACTGTCCTCATAGTTCCTGTGTCTATGTTTCACATTCCCAGTAAATTATAAACAAGCTCCTTGAAAGATTTGGCCTTTTATTTATTTGGTATTTCCTCAAGGAAATCTCTATATATGGACTCAATAAATAAATGAAAAACTTGAAAGTAGAGTTGACAACTGTTTCTAAAGATAGTAGAATACGTATAACTACTACTCATTGAATAGTTTTCTATTAGTTTAAAAACATTTGGGCTTTGCCTGTAAAATTTCTGCCTCTAAAATTATTAAGCAAGTCAACAGTTTAGTATAGTATCTAGTACCATATATATAAGAAGTTGGGGCTAAGGAAAGGTATCAAACAGACTAAACTGCTGAGATTGGAAACTGAGGGAATAAAGAATATGGTCACCTATTATATTCCAGATATTTTTTATGAGTAGACTGGGCTTTAAATAGAAACTTGAGACAAGAGCAAATTTAATAAAAATCTCATCTATTAAGTAAGTCAGATACTGATTAGAAAGTATTTCTTTCTTTTTAATTTTATTTATTTGGAAGGCAGAGTTAGAGAGAGAAATGGAAAGACAGATCTCATCAGCTGGTTCATCCCCAAATGGTTGCAATGGTCACAGCTGAAGCACGATCTGCTGCCTCCCCAGGCACATCAGCAGGGAGCTGGATCGCAAGTGAAGCAGCCAAGAATAGAACCGGTGTAGACATGGGATGCCAGCATGGCAGGCAGTGGCTCAACCAGTTATGCCACAACCCTGACCCTTATTTTTTTAAGAAGAAAAAAGAGCCACAGTGGGGCCTCCTTGTGGTGAAGTAAGCTAAGCCTCCAGCTGGGACACTGGCATCCCATTTGAGTGCAGGTTTGAGGCCTGGCTGCTCCCTTTCTGATCCAGCTCTCCACTAATGTGCCTGGGAAAGCAGCAGATGATGGCCCAAGTGTGTGGGTCATGCCACCCATGTGGGAGACCCAGATGGAGTTCCAGGCTCCTGGTTTCTGCCAGGCCCAACCCTGGCTATTATGGCCATTTGGGGAGTGAACCAGCAAATGGAAGATTTCTCTTCATCTCTGTTTCTCTGTAACTGCCTTTCAAGTAAAAAAGAGAGAGAGAGAAAAAAAGAGCAACAATATACAAAGAAAACAAAAATAAAGTTTTAAAAGTAATTAGGCTCACTAGGCTAATCCTCCGCCTGTGGCGCCTGCACACCAGGTTCTAGTCCCGGTCGGGGCACCGGATTCTGTCCCAGTTGCTCCTCTTCCAGTCCAGCTCTCTGCTGTGGCCCAGGAAGGCAGTGGAGGATGGCCCAAGTGCTTGGGCCCTGCACCCGCATGGGAGACCAGGAGGAAGCACCTGGCTCCTGGCTTCAGATCAGTGCAACGCGCCAACCATGGCGGCCATTTGGGGAGTGAACCAACGGAAGGAAGACCTTTCTCTCTGTCTCTCTCTCTCTCTCTCGCTGTCTAACTCTGCCTGTCCAAAAAAAAAAAGTAATTATAGGGGCCAGCACAGTGGTGTAGTGGGTGAAGCTGCGGCCTGCGGTGCCGGCATCCCATATGGATGCCGGTTCAAGGCCCAGCTGCTCCAGTTCTCTGCTACAGCCTGGGAAAGCAGCAGAAGAGGGCCCCGATGCTTGGGCCCCTGCACCCACATGGGAGACCCAGAGGAAGCTCCTGGTTCCTGGGTTCGTATCAGCTTAGCTCCAGCCATTGCGGCCATTTGGGGAGTGAACCAGTGGATGGAAGACTTCTCTCTCTCTTTCTGCCTCTACCTCTCTGTAACTCTGACTTTCAAATAAATAAATATTTAAAAGAAGAGAGTGTATTATATAAGATGGGAATGACTATTAAAAAAACCTATTTGCAAGAAATGTGGTACAATCTTTAAGATTTAGATAAAGCCCATTAAACTGAAAGGGAAACAAAACTATTATTCTAGGAGTGAGCATGTATTTAGCCTAGCACTTAAGATGCCCATATCCCACATCTGAGATCCTGAGATCCACTCCCAGCTCTGGCTCCTAACTCCAGCTTCCTACTAAAGCAGATCCTGGGAGGCAGTAGCCCCGGCTCAAGTAACCGAGTTCCTACTACCTACGTGGGAGACGCAGATTAAGTTCTGGGCTCCCAATTTTGGTTCCAGCCCAGACCTGACTGTTGTGAACATCTGAAAGATAAACCAGCAGATGGAGTTTGATCTCTGTCTTTCCCTCTCTGACTCCCTCTCTCAAACAAATAAATAAGTATCTGGAAATGCTATTTAATATGTCACGCAAAGGAAGGGAAAGCAGTAAATCTGACTTTTTGAAGAATGACTTCTACACGGAATAAGAGACCAGTAAATTATAGAAATGGTACATTAGAGAGCATCTGTCACAGGAGCTATTCCTAATTATGGCCAGGTTTGGAACTACCAGCTGACATTTGGAAGTATGTCAGCTAACGATCCAGACTATTCCTCCACTCTGCCCCATACAAACATGCTTTAAGTGTTGTTCATTATATAAGCCAATTGCTTTTAAGGGAACATTTATACTTCTCTTCTGCTGTTTTTCCCCCCTCTATATATAACTAACAAGCTATTGAAAGAAAAACAGAAGGCTTATTTCATCCAAATGCAACTGGGAAAATATACTACTACATGATGCCTATAAATGTCAGATGTGGTGAGCTTCTGCAGATTTATATTTCATGAAAAAAAAATCGTTGATGTCATTGCCAGACATATTGTAGCTGCCAGCAAACTTTTTTAATGCTGGACATAAAACAACTCTAAAAATTGTAAAAATAAGCTCACAATCTTCTCTATTAAGTACTACTGAGGAAATCTGAAATTACTACATGAGCTAATATTAAGGCATGCTCCTTTTAAAACAAGGTATATTCTGAAAAACAAGAATGCAAACAAACTCAAAATCTACTAAAGAATTTTTAGGATCGTTGCCCTTGAGATATACCATATCACATAATGAATAGTTTTTATGACCCACTTAGCTTAAAAAGCTCATGTTTCTTCTCATCTATAGAAAAGTTATTTTGTTTGGCTGACAGATGTAGATTTTTCATGCTATGAAAAAGAGGAACTGAGGATACTACGGAGAACCAAGAATCACAAGGGCTGATGATATGCCATCTACCATTAGCCTTTACAAACAGCGCTCCAGCAAGCAAGAAAGCCAAACTGAGCCTATGCATCACTGTTATTCCCTTGCTTCAGTGTCAGGATTATACCCACGCCAAACGATGGAATATTAGTCAATTCTGGAACAATAAAACAAACAGATAAGTATCATTTTAACTACAGTAGGCCTATCACAAATACCTTTTTAATAAGTTATTCCAATATGGTATTGAGCCTAAAAATATTCAAATATTGTTCTTTTCTTCTTAAGAAGATGAATTCCCATCCTCTTCAATATTACAGAGACAATATCATTTGAAATTAGAGTCAGAACTCCAGGTATGGGGGAAATGATAAAAAAAAAAGAATAAACTTGATTTCAAAAGATAATTTCCTCTACTTTTATTGAAAGCATTTCATAAAATTATCTATCCATCTACTTATTTAAAATTTCTTTAATACTTATTTATTTAAGAGTCAGACAGAGAACACCCATCTTTTGGCTCACTCTCCAAATGCCTGCAATGGCTGATGCTGGGAACTGAGAACACCAGCCAGTCCTCTCACATGGGTGGCAGGAACCCAATTACACAAGCCATTACCACTGCCTCCCCCAGGGTCTGCATTAGTAGGAATACTGGAGTCAAAAGCCAGAGTCAGGTATTTAAAGAAAAAGAAGAAGAAAAATATTTATTGAAAGGCAGAGTGACAGGGTCGGGGTTGGGGGCGGCAGAGAGAGACTGATCTTCCATCTGTGGGTTTACTCTCCAAATGAACTTAACAGCCAGGGCTGGATCAGGCTGAAGCCAGGAGCCAGGAACTCCACCCTGGTCTCCCATATGAGTGGCAGAGGATCAAGCACTTGGGTCATCTTCTGCTGCTTTCCCATGTACATTAGCAGGGAGCTGGATGGAAAGTGGAGTAATGATGACTGGAACAGGCACTCGGATATGGGACACCAGCATCGCAAGGGGAGGCTTACCCTGCTGTACCACAATACCAGCCCCAGACGTAAGCTTCTTAACCAGCATCTTCGCTGTTAGGCTAACTGCCCAACTAAAGAATTTAAAAGACAATATTATGTTCAATATATAAGCCAGAAGCCCTGTTCTACAGGAACTTATAACTAATATTTATATAAATTACCAGTAAGGATGAGATGAGTTTCAGGCTAGTTGCAAAACTGAATACAAATACTCATCAAATGGGTCTCTATCTATAAATTGATATAATAAATAGTTGTATGATAAAGAGTCTTACCAAAAATATTTCATATTTTAAAAAGGATACTATATTAATACTGAAGAACAACAATTTTTCATTCTCCAATTCAATTATTTGACAGATACTATATGCAAGGGAATGTGCCAATATACAAAACCTGATTGGTTGGTCCCCTCTTCTCTTGCACCCCAGAGAGGCTTAGAATTCATTGAGCTCAGTACACACAATCCTTTCAAATAGTGTATCCCCTTGAGGTACAAAATTTAAGTGAAGAAGTATCAGAGAGCATCTGTGCAATCCCTGAATGAGGAATACCTGATCTTGCAGTGACATCACTGGATTGTTTTTGGTAGTGTTGATGTGTAGGACGTGGTATCTATTCTTTGCACACAGGTCATAGGCGATATTGGTAAATGAGGTGCTGGCAGTTTTGGGAACTCTGTTATAAATGATCACCATGTCCTCTTCCTCCTCTAAGGCTGCATCTTGCCGAGGGCCATCCATCGTATGTCGCTGCTCAATTTCTCGGACCTCATGTCTTGCAATCGCCCTTTCTGTAAAGAAAAACAAACATGAGCCAAGTTTTTAATGCCACTGTAAGGAAGCTGTGAACTCTAACCTTTGGACCATGATGAGGAAAGACAAAAGCATAAATTAACAAAAGAAAACAAATGCCAAAGTAAAGGAGGAAGGCCCATGGAAAATATGGGCGAACTGTTTGGGCTTCAGGAAGACCAAGTAGTTCATCCTGATTCAGCTTTAGCCAGAAACACAGTTTCCTTAGTCAAGGACTAGGTAGGAGTAGCTGAAGAAATGCCATAAGGATCAAAGCTTCAGAATTACTTTTTGTAGAATAACACAGAATAGGGGCCGGCGCTGTGGCTCAGCGGGTTAAAGCCCTGGCCTGAAGCGTCCGCATCCCATATGGGCACCAGTTCTAGTCCCAGCTGTTTCTCTTCCAATCCAGTTCTCTACTGTGGCCTGGGAAAAGAGTGGAAAACGGCCCAAGTCCTTGGGCCCCTGCACCCACATGGGAGACCCGAAAAAAGCTCCTGGCTTTGGATGGCGCAGCTCTGGCTGTTGACACCATTTAGGGAGTGAACCAGCAGAAGGAAGACCTATTTCTCTGTCCTTCCTCTCATTGTCTGTTACCCTACCTCTCAAGTAAATAAATAAAATCTTTTTTTTAGATTTATTTATCTATTTATTTGACAGAGTTAGACAGTGAGAGAGAAACATAGAGAAAGGTCTTCCTTCCATTGGTTCACCCTCCAAATGGCCGCTACGGCCAGAGCTATGCTGATCCGAAGCCAGGAGCCAGGTGCTTCTTCCTGGTCTCCCATGCGGGTGCAGAGCCCAAGCACTTGGGCCATCCTCCACTGCCTTTCTGGGCCACAGCAGAGAGGTGGACTGGAAGAGGAGCAACCGGGACTAGAACCCGGCACCCATATGGGATGCTGGCTCCGCAGGTAGAGGATTAACTAAGTGAGCCACAGCGCCGGCCCCAATAAATATATATATATATATATTTTGACAGGCAGAGTGGACAGTGAGAGAGAGAGAGACAGAGAGAAAGGTCTTCCTTTTGCCGTTGGTTCACCCACCCTCCAATGGCCACCGAGGAGGGTGTGCTGCGGCCGGCGCATCATGCTGATCCGAAGCCAGGAGCCAGGTGCTTCTCCTGGTCTCCCATGGGGTGCAGGGCCCAAGCACTTGGGCCATCCTCCGCTGCACTCCCAGGCCACAGCAGAGAGCTGGCCTGGAGGACGGGCAACCTGGACAGTATCCAGCCTCCCGACCGGGACTAAAATCCGATGCGTCGCTGCCCTCAGGTACAGGAGTAGATGAAGCTGACTTGTGTCCACTTCTCTCCCCAGACTCTTACTTCTTACTTTATCTCTGTCTCACCCCAGATGCCCTCTCCTTTGTGGGGACTGAATACACTTTGAGGGAGTCTCCTTCCACGTGTCTCGCCCTTCCCAAGCCATCAGCCTCATTGTCTCCAGGGACCTTTTCAACACCTGCCAGCAGTGCCTCTCTGGCTTAAGCCTTTCAGGAATTCTTCATTGCCTTCAGAAGGAAGTCCAAGCTCTCGAGCATGGGGCTCAGGGCTTCTAAGCCCTGAAATGGCCTCCATTTAGCTCCTGCTCATCACTCTCCCTGTCTTCCCTCGGACCTTCCATTCCAGCCATTCTGAACTACTCTGCTCTCTGGTGCTTTTGG